CCCGCCCCCGCCGCCAGTCCCACTGCCCGCCGAGCCGCAGCCGTCGTCGCCGCCGCCGCCGCCGCCTGCATCTTCACCGCTTGCCCCCTCGCAGCCAGTCCCACTGCCCGCCCCGCCTGCAGCCCCACTGCCCACCGAGCCGCAGCCGTCGCTGCCGCCCCCTTCGTCTTCGCCAGTCCCACTGGCCCCTTCGCCGCCAGTGCCACACACACTGCCAGCATCGCCGCAGCCGTCGCTGCCGCGCCTTTCGTCTTCGCCGCTCCCACGCCCTCCCTCGCCCCGAGTCCCACGCCCCGCCTCGCCGCAGCAGTCGCTGCCGCGCCCTGCATCCTCGCCGCTCCCACTGGCCCCTTCGCCGCCAGTCCCACACACACTACCAACATCACCGCAGCCGTCGCTGCCGCGCCTTTCGTCGCCGCCGCAGCCGCCGCAGCCGCCGCCACGCGCCGCCACCTCTCCCCTCGCACGCCCCGCCGCGCGCGGCGCCCTCGCCGCCGCGGGTATCACTACCTCCTCGTTGGCGGCACGTCTACGCTCGCCGGCCTATGCCAGGAGCACCGCTGTCCCGCTGCAGCCCTTTGCAAGAGCAGCCCCGCCATACACTGCCGTGCGCATCGCCCCCGCGCCTGCGCCGCAGCCGCCTATCCCCGCCGCCGCGCAGCCGCCCTTCTCGACCCGTGCGGAAGAGGTGCCGATGGCCGAGCTGCATGCGCCTAACCAACGTCTGATCCCCACCGCGGAAGAGGTGCCGATGGCCGAGCTGCATGCGGCTGACCAACGTCTGGCCCCCACCGCGGTCGAGGTCCCGATCGCAGAGCTGGCCGCAGTTGAGCGCCTCCCGGCCACCAGCTCGTACGAGACGCCGGCCGCCGTGCTGCACGCGGCGGAGCGCCGCGTCGCCGCCGGCGCGTACGATGACGCCATTGCAAAGTACACACATCTCCTCTCCGTCACCTGGCACGGGGACGGGCCGTCGCCGCACGCCATCCAAGCCCTGGCGGGCAGGTGCAACGCCTTCATGGAGAAGGCCCGCGCCGACGACGATGCCTCTAGCTTCTCGCGCGCCGCCACCGACGCCCGTAGGCTCGTCAACCTCCGCCCGACATGGGACCAGGCCTGGCTGGCCCTCGGACACGCCCATCTGGAAAACGGATGCCCAGCCCGCGCAAAGCTCACCTTCGAGTACGGCATCCAGTCATGCCCCTCCTCGTCCAAGCTCAAGGAGGGTCTCGTGGACGCAGAGTACGTCCTAGATGACGAGGGCGCAGAGACGGATTGGGAGGACGAAAGTGGAGATGAAGTCGGCAGCGAATCCAGCCAGGATGTCGTCCAGGCTTACCACATCTCCCCGTACGATGCCGCCCCTCGCCAACGACACCCGCAGCGCCAGCGCCATCAGCAGCTCCCGCCACGCTCGCGCACCGAGTCCGCTCCGAGAAGCGTCGGCGCCAACTTTGGCCGCCCCCACCCTGGCGACGCCGGGCAGCGCTCCTTTGGTGGCACAGGTGACAACGATCAGAGACTGCGCGGGAAGCGCTGGAATGAATCCAATCGCCGCGTCCGGAGCGCCTTAGATCGCGAAATGCGCAACCGCGAGGCCTTTGAGCACGGCATGCGTGACCGAGAAGCCCGCCAGCGCGAGGGCGTCGAGGGAAGTACTACGACTCGCGCGAGCACTAACCCTCGGCCTGGCTGGCAACGAACAGCGAGTCACAACGAGACGCGACAGGACGAAAGGCCGCAGGACGCGTATTCAGAGACCACCGATACAGCCGGTTCCTCATCTGGCACAGGAAGCCAAAAGCTCTACGATATGCTCCAGGTACCACGAGACGCCAACAGCGCGCACATCAAAAAGTCGTACTACAACCTTGCTCGCCGATTCCACCCGGACAAAAACCAGGACGATGCGATGGCGACGGACCGGTTTCAAAAGCTCGCCGAAGCATACCGGGTGCTGTCGGATCCAGAATCGAGGGCATTGTACGACAGGTACGGGGACAAGGGGCCTGTGAAGAACAGCGTGGACGTGATCGATCCGTCTACTCTATTCGCAATCGTGTTTGGCTCCCAGCAGTTTGTGAATATTATCGGGGAGCTACGACTCGCAAGTCTTGCAAATAACGTCGACGACGATGGGGCGGCCCCCTCGCAAGAGATGTTGGACAGGATTCAGAGGGAACGCGTCGGCAAACTGGCGCTGGAAATGGTCAAGGTGTTGAAGCGATGGGTGGACGGTGATAAGAGAGGGTTTCATGGGGAAATGCACCGGCAGATGCGTCGGTTGGAACAGGCCAAGTTTGGGGTGGCGCTGTTGCGCAAGGTAGGGAATGTGTACATAAGACAGACGAGCTACCTGCTTGACAAGACACGACCGTTCAACTTGTCTGCCGTGGTGCGCAAGGCGTCCCTTCGGTCGCACAAAATCTCGTCGCACAACAAGGCTATGGCAGCGGCCGGGAGAGTGATGGACAAGCAGCGTCGGCTACACGACCGGGTAATGCGGTCCAACCGGGATAATCGGTCGATCTCCGACGAAGAGGCGACGCAAATTGCAGTGGAGATGGCCGAGAACGCGATTGACATGATGTGGAAAATATCTGTGATCGACATCGAGACGACGCTGCAGGACGTGGTGGGGATCGTGTTATCCGGGCGCGACCTGATCGCCGAGGACCTGCCCGCGGCGCGTGAGCGACGGCCAGACGTGCCCGCGGACGGCGAGCGGTCGCGGCGACGGATACGCATCGGGTCGCATCTCGGGATAGACCGACGCGATGGGCACTTGCGCGACGACAGCGAACGCCACGAGCTGGGCCTCGTCCGTCCTGGTGCGCAGCTGCAGCACGGACAGCGCGCCCAGACGCGGCAAGAGATCCTCAGCGAACGCGCGTACGGCATACAGACCATGGGGAGAATTTTCATCTCGGCCGGGCAGCGATAGTCTAGGCTACGGTTATGTCTCCTTTCTCCCGCGTTGACAGCTTGTTCAAGATTGTAGAGAGCTTTTTGATTTATGAAAGCGACGGTTCCGTGTACAATACAGACATTACGTGCAAGAGGGTGCCGTGTGTTCGGGAACAAAAACCGGTCGCCGTCACTTTGCTTCGTACGATAGTATACAATTGCCCTTGATACATGTTGTGTCCCCGTCAAACCTCTTGCGTGCCAAGCAGCGGCTTTGCCTCCCCCCCGCCCTTCGGCGCCGCCTCCTTGGGCAGCAGGCGCTCAACCCACGCCTCTGCCACGCACTTGGCCATCTGATACGCGGCGGCCACAAACACGGCGATGACGACGCCCACAAGCGCCACACCCGTCCCGATACCATTCCTCCCGAACGCGAACGCGAGCACGGCAACCACCGCGCACGCGGCCGGGACGTACATGGCGGTCTCCACGCCGACGGCGAGCACGCTGGCGAGCACCCTGTCCACGAGCGCGCGCGACACGACGCGCCACCCGCGCCGCGGCTGCGCCGAGCGGTCGTCCGCGTCCTCAATCAGGTCCGCAATCGCGCGCGTCTTGCTCGCCACCGAGCGCGCCGCCACCAGCCCCAGCACGACCACCGGCGCCACCGCGACCGGCGCCACCGCGAACACCACCAGCGACAGCAGCGAGGTCCCCAGCGCGATCAGCACCAGCGACAGCACCTGCAACGTCCGCAGCAGCGTCGCCAGCAGGTCCAGCGCGCGGTCCAGGCGCGACGGCGGCGGCGGCGCGGCGCGTGCGAGCCCCGCGGCGGGCTCCATGTGGTGGCGGGTGCCGGGTGCCGGGTGCAGCTTGGACAATTGGGGGCAATTGGGGGCTTGTCCTGGGCGTTGCGCTAGGGTGTCCGTGGCGGTTGTTTCCGTGTCGGTGGGGAACTCGGGAATTCATGCAGAGCAGAAACAGAGTTGAAGATTAAAAGGAGGTTTCACACACGTGTATGAGTGCATACACGTGTATGAGTGAACACGTAGGTATACGTGTACAATGTTCACACGTGGATGTATACGTTTACGTGTACGGTGAACACGTAGATATACGTGTACAATGTTCACACGTGGATGTATACGTTTACTGTGAACACGTAGGTATACGTGTACAATGTTCACACGTGGATGTATACGTTTACTGTGAACACGTAGGTATACGTGTACAATGTTCACACGTGGATGTATACGTTTACTGTAATGCACACTCAGTTCACTCCTGCATCGCGTCCGTGGCCTCGTTTCCGTGCACACGGACGCGGTACACAGACGTATGCGGCGCGCCATGGTTGCTCAAAAACTCCACCCGCACAGCCCGCATCACCCCCTCGCCCCCAACCACAAAGCTCTGCATGTGGCTCTTTCCCTCTCCGTACTCGAACACAAACTCGCCGAGGCCCACCTCCTCGTCATCGACGGTAATCCCAGTGACGCGGAAGCGCCGCGGCGCGCTCAGGCTGGAGAACACGGAGCGCTCGGGCGTGTGCTCCAGCGTCACGCTTCTCACGCGCACGGGCCGCGCCACGCGGATCGTCAGGCTCCCCCGCTCACCCGGGAACGCCCAGCAGTTGCCCGGGAGCACGTCCGCCGTCAGCGCCATGCGCGGCCGGTTGGGCAGCAGCGGCGTGAACGCGCGCCGCCGCACCACCGCCTCCACGTACTCGCGCGCGAACCGCGCGTACACCCGCGCCACCGACGGCTCCGACGCCACCACGCCGCCGCCCACGGACGCCAGCGCATAATCCGCTGGCAAGCCTTTGTCCGCGGCGTACCGCTCCGCAAACC